TTAATCTCCTCTCCTCTTCTGAATGCAGGCAGTGATGTGTATCACTTCCTGCATTCAGTGTCACTCTCCGGGACAGAAACGGGAGAGAAGCTGGTGAAGCAGATCTCTGCTTCATTTGCTTCTCTGGGGGTCCCAAGGTGACATTAGGGGTCTTGAAGACCCCTGATGTCTCCATAAAGAGGACCTGTCACTGCAAATTGGCCATCACATAGGGAGCTTGTTTGCACCCTATGTGGTAGCAATAAAGTTCAGTGAGAAAAAAAAGGTTTAAAAAAATATAAGTTACAAAAAAAAATTAAAAAATTAAAAATCACATATATCAAAGCAATACAAATAATAATAAAGTCCCCCGCCCCCACATGCACACGCAAACATGCGTCAAGCCCGCCTACGTGCAAAAACACAGATTACATCCATTGCGCCGCACATGTTGCATATCGCTGCGAACATCGGAGTGAGAGCAATAATTCTAGGCCCATCAATCACTGATAACACTAAACTGATGAGCGGTAAAAGCTTTTAAAGCGTCGGCTATGGTCAATTTTGAGTGGTAGTTTTTTTTTCGATTTTTAACGGGTGCGCGCAATTTTAAAGCTTGACATGTTTAGTGTCTATTTACCCGACGTGACCCTGACTTTTAGATTTTACCAAAAAATTAGGTAATGTTTTATAACATAACGTAGGGAGAACAGGTTTTTGGTACTTTTTCCATTTATATAGTAAATTAAATACCACCAAGAGAAAGCTCTATCTGTCCCCCCAAAAAAGGTATAAAATTAATTTCAGTACAGCGTTGCATGACGGAATAAATGTCAAAGTACCGCAGCTCTAAATACTGAAAAATGGCTTGGACAGGAAGGGGGTGTAATCACCCCGGTCAGCAAGTGGTTAAAGTGCATTTCCACAATATAACCCTTTGAAGCTGCAGTAGCAGTCTTGAGCGCACCTTCAGTTACTGTCTGAACAACCTCCATCATTCATCAATTACCTCTCTCCCTTATATCTACTGTCAGAGCTATGAGCTTTCTCTGCCATCAATCATTTTGTTCCTGAGCTGTTTGTAAGGAATACATCCCCGGCATCCGAGCTCAGCTAAGGTCTGCAGCACCAAGTGTCCAGCAGGGAGAAGCAGACGCATCTAAAGGGATCACAGGGATGTGTTCTTTCATATAATCACAGTGGTTCACCGACACATACAAAGAAAAGATCCAATATCAATATTTCAACATAGTGACGCTCTGATGAAGGGTCCCTGCGATGTCCCATGACATGACATGACATTTCACAAATAAACATATCAACAAAATATTGATATTGGAACTCTTCTTTGTGTGTGTCGGTGAACCACTGTGATTACTTGAGCACCACTAATACTACAATGTTGAGACGTAAGGAGTGCAGGTGGCCTTCGGAAACTCTTTCGTATAATTCTTGTAAGAAGGAACCAAGGCGGAAAGCTGTGATGTTTACAGGCCGGCCCCTGCCACCAAAGAGCAGCAGACAGACCCAGGGGTGACATCGCTGGATCCCAAAACTGTTTTTTCTTGAAAAACAAAATGATTTGATTAAAAAGGTTTAATGGCACGTTGATCGGTCGGACAAGCAAAGGTATGCGGACACTACACTTGAGCTTTAATCATGTATGGACAGGACCTTTTTTCTAGTGTGTGTGACTTTTTGCTCCCACTTTTTGGCTTAATAGCCAGAAAGGTTGGGGCGCTTTAATAGAAAGTAATAATTGGGATGTCACCAGCTACCCAGGTTCAAATTACACAGGTGTGAATGGGGCTCATGTACAAAATGTACCCCAAGAACCAGGTAACCGTCTAAAAATCATTAACCCACTCCCCACCTTACCATAGCACAGCTGTTACACTGATTTGACACTTAAACAGTGTCAAATCAGTGTAACAGCTGTGCTATGGTAAGGTGGGGAGTGGGTTAATGATTTTTAGACGGTTGTGGGTTTTTTTTGCAAACGACAGCTTGACTGCAGGTCTCGGATATTGTTAACAGAGGAAATTCCTGTGGATAAAGAGTCCTGGGAATGACAATAGAAAGCTAATACAGCAAATACCAGAGACTAGCAGAAGGTCTAACCAGGATGGGTTATGGGTGAAGACTTAATGACAAAGCTATGCATGTCAAATCCAGGAGCCAGCTTCATTGACAATAACTAGAGAAAAACTTTGAACCTTAGGCGCTAGCTGTCATGTTTAAGGAGCATAGGCTACCTGGTTCTTGGGGTACATTTTGTACATGAGCCCCATTCACACCTGTGTAATTTGAATTGCTTTGTCTGTAGTGCGACAATGCATTATGGGAATACCATTAATTGCTATGGTGCCCCTTCACACCAATGCCATAGGCTTCTTCTTGGTGTTAGACTTTAATATGGGGTGCATGAAACTAGGGCTGCAACAACGAATCAATTATAATCGATAATGAGAATCATTGGCAACGATTCTCATCATCGATTAGTTGCAGCCGCTCTGCTCCTCTGTTCTCCCCGCTTGTGCGGACTGCAGCGGTTTGTGTCCCTCTTCAATCCCTATATCAGCAGAGGCAGCGGGGACACAGACTGCTGTTGGCACCAGCGGGGAGGAGAGACAGCTGTGACTGTATTCCCCCTTCCTGTTCCTCCTCTGCCCCCCCCCCCCCTTCTGCTGCCACCCCGTTCCTTCTCTGCATCTAGAGCAGGGGTAGCAAACCTCCGGCCCTCCAGCTATGGTGGAACTACAAATCCCGTGAGGCATTGCAAGATTCTCGCAGACACAGACATGACTCCCGAAGAGATGCATCATGGGATTTGTAGTTTCACCACAGCTGGAGGGCGGGAGGTTTGCTACCCCTGATCTAGAGGCTGGGAGCCATACCCACCCTGCTAATGAATATTTTAAATGCAATAGCCAATAGCAGGCTGGCTATCGCACCCACCCACTGCCTGCTGTCGATCAGCAGAGGAGGACCTGATGGAGAACTTTCTGCCAACAATGTACACAGTGCTTTACATACTGTACATTTACACCATTGACCTGTTCTATGCACACAAATCTGAGTGCACACTGCCATAGCTCCCAGATGGTGATCACTCTTTATTTGGGAATGATTTGCCTTAAAATGCCTGATTGTCTATTCCAGGCGTGCCCATTAGGTCGATCACGAAGCTGTTAGATTGCGAGCCGGCTCCCCTGGAAGGGGTGATCCGCCCCTGCCCGCCTTCAGCGTCCGACACATTTGGAACTTTTAAAGCGCCGTCTTTGGATTTTTTTTGGGTACTGAATCATGTTTCCGTTTTCACAGACTCGCACTATTTTAAACCTGGGCATGTTGGGTATCCATTTACTCGTCGTAACCTCCTTATTAAACAGTGGGTAACTAAAACAAAATGGTATTATACGGTGCACTAAATTTAACTTGAAGTGCGTTTTTCACAAACTTTTTGAGTTTGATCAAGAGTTGCGCTAATATCGTGCAACATAAAAAAATTGCAACCGCCACCCTGTAGTCTACAGGGTCTTGCCTTTCAGATAATATATATTGTTTGGTGGTTTTAAGTAATTTTCAGGCCTAAAATGTGGAATACCTTGTGTGCAAAGAATGGGGGAGAAAAAGGCCTTGGCAGCGAAGGGGTCCTTAAGGGGTTAATGTCCCCCAGACCTAGACAGGCACTTTACCCTTGCAGTGTGGGGGTAGTCTGACTGCAAAGAAAGATAACTGAGGGCAAATGAGACTAACTGAACCATCCAAACATAATGATAAAACAAAATAATTGCGCATAGTATGCAGTTAGTGGAATCCGGTATGTTAGATTTTGCAGTCGGTAATAAAAGTGTGTGTGTGTGTGTGTGTGGTCCGTCTCTACGCTTCTGTTTTAGTTGTTGCATTGCTGCATCACTCGGAAGTCAGTCCAAGAACATGTTGCTCTTCCTTCTTAATGCATTCTTTAAAGCAGTGGGGTTTTCTGATACTGCGGTAACACTGAGATCGCTGTCTGGGCTGATGGGTCAGGGGAGATCGTGCATACTTGTAAATGTAATCTAGCATTCTTCTATTAAGTCAACATTCATATTGCCTAGTAGTTCTATTCTCTAATATTTTGTGATGGGAGACACATTACTGCAGAATAGACAATAGTTATGTGTAAACTATACTTGCCTGTACATCCGTCCTCCAACACGCAGCTTATAAGGTCTCCATACTAGATTGCTAGGTGTTGAGGACCCACACAAATGGACACAATTGTCTTTATACGTATAGTACCCTAAATTTCTTAATCTTGGTGTGCAGCTAATGTGCAGACTAGCTGGTCTTCTAATTTAGACAGAATAATGCGTTTGTACCTGCACTGAGAGAAATGTATAAGCTGCAGTTGCTGGCTGCTCCTGCTGAAAACCCATGGATGTATTTCTGTCATGCTGATCCTCCTGGTTTCAGCATTTTTTTGAATCACTGGCTTGAGACCATTATGCAGAAAGGAAGGGCTGAATTCATGTGCTGCATACTTGCACAGGGCCAATGACTTGATGCTGAGACCAGTATGCAGATGGGGAGGACTGAATTCATGTGCTGCATACTTGCACAGGGTCAGTGACTTGATGCTGAGACCAGTATGCAGATGGGGAGGACTGAATTCATGTGCTGCATACTTTCACAGGGTCGGTGACTTGATGCTGAGACCAGTATGCAGATGGGGAGGACTTAATTCATGTAGCTTGCATCTCTCACACTGATTGGCTCTTGTGATTTTGTTTGTCATCTGCTCTGTCAAATGACTGCTCAGTCACAGGCAAGGGAATCTTACTAATGGGGAGACGGATAACAGTAAAAACCTGACCCCCTCCCCCCCATTAGATATACAGTAATTATTCTGGCCCATTCACCATGAATGGCAACCCAACACATTGCACCAAATGAAATGAAATGTGATTCTGCTTTTTGTTGGTCAACATCTGTAATTATATGTAATTCTAATAATATACATTTGTTTTGTTTTGCAGATGGGGTTATGAACGGTGATTTCTATCAGGTAAAATCAATTTCTACTTTCTTATCGTTGATGACCTAGTATAGGTATTCACTGGTCAGGTTTGTCTATATTGCAATCAGTGCGATAATGTACTGATCACTAGGGATGGGCTCGGGCTTGTTCGCAAGCGCCTCGCCCGCCAGGAAGCCGTCGGTGTGCAGGGCCAATCCCAGGCACTGAGACATTTTCCCGGTCCGCAGCTGCAGAGATCGGAAAACGTCTCGGTGCCTGTGATTGGCCCTGCGCGCTAACAGCTTCCTGGCGGGCTCGGCACAAGGTGCTTGCGAACACGCTCGAGCCCATCACTACTGATCACGTGTTTACATCTTTGTGCGCATGTTGTGATCTTGATGTGAACAAAGATCCTTGGTGTGGGGATGCAAGGGGACGCATTCTTCTGATCTGTTTAGTGAAATGAGCTTGTAGTAAGATAAGTAGATTACATCGTAGTCCCACTGGAGATAGCTGTTTAGTTTAAAATAGAACTAGTTTATAATCTGCTTAAGATAAGCTCTCTTTAATAGGTGAAGCTAGAAATAAGCGGCCGCATCAAACTAGCGGAGTACTAAGACTTCTTGTTTGCCTGTGGTAGCTACAGTGTATGTGAAAGAGAACGTACATCTATTACATCTTGGATTGCTAATGGATGTCTCCTTGGCTGTGCTTGGCTAAAGAGGTGCACAGCCCATATTTAGATAATTTTGTAGTATTTGCTCTTGAATGAAACCAGCTCATTTTCAGCCATTTAATTATGTCTATATTAACCCCCACACACAAAGAATAATATCCCCCCACCCTTATTAACCCCCCACACAAAGTTATAATACACTCAACCCCTTCCCTGAGCCTCCTGACCTGTTCACATCTTTGCAGGGAGGAGGCCGTGAGCAGGATCGATCCCTGGTTTATCTGTGAGTGATTACAGAGGTCTGCAGCAGCCCTCACTATCACACCCAGATAGCCAGGCATCGATGCTGCTCACAGACATTCTTTCCTTCGCTGGAGCTCAGAACTGTCAGAGCTCCGGCCGAAGGAAACCGGAAACCGGAACTGACAGGAGCTGCTCTGCTCTCAAATTTCCACTCGCCCTCACCTTATTTTTACTCGCAAAATGCGAGCAGGCGAGTGGAAATTTTAAGCCCTGGTCTAATGCATTGCTTGGTTACTTGAAGAAACCTTTATAGTTATTATTCCTCGGGGCCCATTCACCAAACATGCATTGGGCTGTGTTGTTCAGCGCAGGCCAAGTGAAATAACAAATGGAAATCCATTGTTTTGAATCTGCCCAGTTTATACTATATTGGTGTGTGCTGGTTGAGAAAGCAACATTCTGCGTTTAATGCATTGCATTACAATGCATCCTATCGCAAAGCATGTTAAGTAAACCAAATAGAAAAATATTATAGTAATGCAGGATGTCAGTGCATGTCAACACATGTGCCATAAGCATGGACTGATGTGTGCTAAATGCAACACAAGCGGTGTGAATTTAGCCTTGGGCCTAATCTACATATTTGCATTTAAAGACCCATTATTTTTTTACTAACTAGTTCTTAGGGTTTTGTTTGTTTTTTTAATAATCTGTGCTGTTGATTTCACTGAAGCATGATCGTCTGCTTCAATGCTCCCAAGCTGCTGTGTTTGTGATTTTAGGAAGGATCACTGATATCTTCCACCATGTATCTAAAACAGGGAGCGCACTTTGACAATAGATAACAGGCTTCTAAGGCGACTTGTTAGTATAGCTGGTATGTCTTTACCTTACCTAGTAGAGGAAACTCATCTCACCTGAGGGGCAGCTCCCTTTGGTTACAAGACAATGGCATCTTTGGTGTGCACCTGAAGGAGCAAACCTGTGCATATAAAGGAACACCGTTCTTAAATCCCACCTATAGTTGAGGCAGATGCATGATAGAATATGTACTTTGATCACAGCTGGAGTGTAGAGGTTGCCTACCCACGTACTAGGCGTTCTCTAAATCGCCAATGCACTAAGCAAGTGACCCCTTGTGTTTTCACAGCATAGGGAAGTAGCTCGGTACAGGACATGAAAGATTGCTGTAAAGCACCGTGGTAGCTGCTGCTGCTCAGATTGACAGTTCTGGCTACAGGGAACAAGAGTGACCTGCTCTCCCGTTTCCTCGTTAATTCACAAAAGCCTATTCTTTTTACCCAATACAAGGCGTTCTGTGAATGGAGAAGGGGAGAGAAGGGGTGGGTAAACCACAAGATCATCTCATCTATTCACAGAATGTCCGGCATTCAATGAATGAATAAAGAATACCAGACTTTTTATAAATAAAGGACAGAGAAAGGGGCAGAGCAAACGCCTGTCTTGTTCACTGTACACTAGATGGCACTATCAGTCTGAAGGGCGGCAGCTGACAGTAGTATCGTGTATAAAACTAACACTTGTAGCACCCCGAGCAGCTGGCAAAGCACTACACTTAACTTCTTTTGACCAATCACAATTTAAAAAAAAAAAGTACTTTTGAGAAATACAAATGGCAGGTAAAACAGTAAGCAGGCGAGTATTTCAACTGTGAATTTTCCTGTTTATCTGGATTTTTTCTGTAATGTCTAAAGCATCATGAAAATCATCATGGTTAATTGCAGAAAATTCAAAAATGGCTTGGCCAGCTGATTTGAAAAATGTTCCGGAGGGCTTGGCAGCGAAAGGGTTAAGAAATTGTGGCATGAAATAATCGGTGATGGCTTAGTTGTCATCTCGAATGCTGAAACCGATCTGTGAGTTGAAACAGCATATTGTTAATGCTGTAATTCTTTTTTTCTTTTCTCTGGAGCAGGAAAGTAATGGGCCAACAGATAGTTATGCAGCCATTTCCCAAGCTGACCGTTTGCAAGCAGAACCAGAAAGCATCAGGAAATGGAGAGAAGAGCAAAGGAGCCGTTTAGAATTACTTGGTGAGCACTTTGTGTGTAGCCTGCTAACCTGAAATATTCTTTTTTTTCCCATGTATTATTATACTTTGGGAGGAAGCACTGCACTATGTACAATTACAGCAACTTTATATCTGTTTACCTTTCAGTTAATTGAAGGAGCTCATTACCTACTAGTGCAATTTGGCTTGTAAACATTTATTTGTGTATGTTGTAGCCATCACTATACCTTGTTCAATGATGTGTTTGTAACAGGCCAATCCGTATTGTGATATCTTCTCTGGAGTTTTCCAATAAATGTCAGGAAAGGGGAACTATGATGGTTGGGGAAGGCCACTTAGACAGTACCGAGGCCTTCGGAGCTGTATATTAACAGCGGTATCTGTTAACCCATTGAACCAAGTAAAACCTTTACTGAAGTGGTTCTTTGGGCCAACACAAAATTCCTTCTGCTCAACAAGAAGCAGGATCCTTCAGGCATAACCTTTTGAGAATAACATCTGTCTTCTTGCTGTTCAGTTTACATTTGCTGCCATATCAGTACTCATGGGCCATAATCATTGAGTGGTCAGCTTTATCAAATAACCAAAATGTGTATGTGTAACTAATTAAAAAAAATTATATATATTAGGGCTGCGGAAATTAACGATTTAATCCTTCGATCAATTGTTAATTTTTTTGATCAAAATTATTTTGATCGATCAAAGTCATACTCACCTCTTCGCCGGATTCCGGGTCTTCTGTCGATGTCCGCGACGTCACCGGACTCCTCCCCCCTTCCACAAGTGGCTCTGTCGGCTAGGGAAGGGGAGTGGAGTCCGGTGACGTCACTGGACTCCTCCCCCTTTCCTTCGTTACCCAAAGGAGTACACAGCGAATACACAGCCTAACTCTCCCGGCCGCCACGGGAGAGTGGTTTAATCTGCTCTCTCTTTTTACCGGAAAGGTTTAATCTGCTCAATCGAGCAGATTAAACCTTTCCCTGCGATCGTTTTTTTTTTTTTTTTCTTTTCTGACATCGGGAGCCGCAGCCTGACCGTTCTCATGCATCTATCTGGGTTGGCTCTGATTATGCACTGTGTCTCACATTTGAGGATACTTGAGAGCAGGATACAGTATTTTTTCTGAATTACTGGTCAGGTTTCACTTAATTGACTTCTGGCAAAGTGTAGTATCACCCTTTTTTTTTTTTTTCTCACAAGAGCATCCATGGCTGGGAATGAAATGTTTGATTCTTTGTAGAAAACTAGTAGTAGTAAACAAAACAAAAAAACAGCCCCCGTATAACCCTACCTCGGTCTGTCATGACATAGCTTTTTGCTAGTGTTCGAGGCGACCGGATGCCTTTTCCTCAGCTCTGTGTGAAAAAAAATGTTTGCAATAATTTTGTAATACTCCTTTATTGACTTTAAAAGAGAACTATGGGATAAGTGTTTTTCCCTATAGTTCTCTTTAGGGTCACAGGCGGACATATATTAACCTCCTCCCGTGATCCAAAGCTCAGTATATAGTACTGAGAGCGCCGCAGCCGGGACAGATCCTGACAATACTGTTGAGATCCACCCAGCTCCTTGAGTGACAGCAGGCTCTGCCTATCTAGAGGCAGAGCCAGCTGTGCCCACTCCCTCCCCTGTTGGTTCCTCCACTTAGCGCTGGAGGATCGGAGAGGGGAGGGGGAATCCCTGCTGAGAGCAGTGACTATCAGGAATTGAGCGGATCGGCTGCATGTTTTTGCTCACTTCCTGATCTATAGAGCCGACCTGTGACAGCTTCTTTGTCACATGTCGGCTCTAACTATGAGGATGAGTGGAAATCACTCACCTCATAGATCTCCTTTTAAGCAAGATTCTTGAAACACCTTTTAATAAGTGTTTTCCTTTGGTAACTGATTTCTATTAAGCTGCTTGAGCTAGTCCCATATTGGCTCTTATATTTTTGCCTTGACCGTTTTTTACCCACGTATCCTTTTTTTCTTTCTATTGAAGTATTCCTTTTTTAGATAAATCTTGTCTGGAACATCAGAGACTTGGGGCTCAAAATGTCTTTTTTCTTTGGGGGACGGGGTGGAAGTTGGTGACCTCATTTGGCATTAGGTTAATTCTGACATGGTACAACCATAGTGGCAGAGTAAAGCTGTGGGGTGGTGTTTCACTCAGTACTTTTAAAACCTGAGAAAGTTGCGACTCGGTGTCCACCCAAAACCAACATGTTTTATGTGTTTTTTTCCCCTTTTTGATTTGTCCGCAATGTAAACAATAAATCCTATTTTCTCTGGTCCAGATGCCAACTCTCGAAACCAAGAAGCAGAGTGGAAAGAGAAAGCCATTAAGGAACTAGAAGAGTGGTACACAAGACAAGATGAGTTATTACAGAAGACGAAAGGAAATAATCGGTAACTTATTTCCATAGCCCAATATTTTATCACTTTTCCTATCTATGGTACCACCCACCTTTATTGGTTTTGTAAAATCCGGTCCAATCTACAAATAGAATTACAGAATTATCAATTTTGGGGTCTAAAAACATCAAAAACAAAAGGTTTCATTATGCTAAACTCGGTGTGACCACAATGAAAACAAATGAAAATTTCACAACTTAATCATTTTATGTTCAAGTCAATTTTTAAAGAAGTTATTATCAACTCTTTAACAAAACTGACTGTAAGTAATAGAGGAAGCGTACATTCAGAATTAGATTTTTGAGTAGATACAATTCAATAGGAATGTCGAAACAATCCAATTTATCTATATTGGTCACCCATAGACATGCTGAGCACTTGGTCAAAGCCTTGGGACTAGCCCTAAGGACCTGACTTAAAATAAAATTTTCAAATGACAACTGTTTTATTGTATTCACTGGATGCATTTAGTGGACTCTATTCTTATTTACAATCATGAATATTAGTAGTAGGCCATTACTAATTTTACTAACCTTACCTAAAAAAAAATATTTATTTTCTAAATGCATATTGAGGTTTATGTTCATATGTTATTTCTCCTGAATGTTAACTGTACATGAAAGTGGAACTCCAGACAAACTTATAAACAAGTTATGTATTTGTTAAACATTGAATATATTTTATAATTTTACTAATGTAACAGTCTGAAGTATATTCCCCCCCCCACCATCACCCACCCACAATTCCTTGCACGGCAGGTTGCTATAACTTTAACATGTTTTCAGGCACTGGCCGCTGTGAAGAGTAAGGTGTCTAGGTAGCTTATAGGAGGTAGAGCATATATGGAGGAACTCAGCCATGTGTTGATTCTCATGCATAGTCCAGATAACTGGCAGCTGGTCATGCAAACTGCAAACTTGCTCTAGTGGATAGTGGTGCAGCCACCCTGACTGTTCAGCGAGAGGGTTGTATGAATCAGATTTGTAGCTGAACAAGATAACAAATATTGTAGGCGGTTTAAAGTCCATATTTATGTATTTTGGATTTGGCCGGAGTTCTACTTTCATAATCTACACCTATCCCTGCCTTTAATCTTAATTGTGGTGTAATCCTTGTTTCACTCCGGTTTTCACTAATCTCTCTTTCTCGCCAAGTTTATTTAAGGCTGTCTCTTGCATTCTCTTGTTTTCATCGCTCTCTCCTTTTCTTTTCTTGCCTGCTTGCCTTCTTTTTGGACTTCTTGCTGTCTGTAGGGTGGCAGATGAAGCTTTCTTCAAACAACCCTTCGCTGACGTGATTGGTTATGTGTATGTTGCCTAATTACTAATTCTACTGACAGTTTGTGTTCACAGTGTTCTTTTATTTTTGTTGTAAAGCTTTGAAGTCTTGTTTTGTCACTGGGATGCCGTTCGTTAATCGGGCTAATAGAAAAGTTTTTTTTTGTACATATATTTTATAGAAACGTATTGGGTACCCTTATTGTAGTAGCCAGCTGCATGCACTGGGTAACTAAAAATAAGAGATCTAATGGTCTTGTGGTTAACTGGATTCACAATTTGCTTACTTCGCAATCTAGCAGAGTAGGTTTTCTTTAAAGTAAATGTGGTCACACTGCAAAATGTGTCTAATTCCAACTCATTTGTGCATGTATGACAAGCCTAGCTCTGGCCTATCGCCAACATCTCCATCATGGCACCTCTTGTTCACTCTGCATTGAAAATGCCAGTTGGCAGGCCAGCGAGAAAAAAGTAAACAAATGCAGCCACCATGTCTAGGGACTGGTAAGCTGAACAATATTACTCTTTTGTTCTTGGGTTCAGATACACTTTTTCAAGTTCATTTGTGCTGCCTCTTTATGACCTTGTTTAGTTACATTGCTCAGTGTGACAGGTTTACTTTAACAATATGTTCACTAGTTCCTTGAACGTTGTATGCACAGGGAAACTGGTCAAAACCTATGCAATGAAATATCTCCCTCTCCCTCAAATGCTAGTTACTTTATTTTACAAAGACCAAAGACCTAGACCAAATGAGCACTTAAGCTCATGCTCAATGCTGTGCAGGGGGGGCATAAATGTTAACCCTTGTAGTGGGGCTGCCCCCCTGCACAGCATTGAGCATGAGCTTAAGTGCTCATTTGGTCTAGGGCAGTGGTGGCGAACCTTGGCACTCCAGCAGTTTTTGAACTACAAGTCCCATGAGGCATTGCAAGGCTCTGACAGCCACAGACATAACTCCCAGAGGCAGATGCATGTTGGGATTTGTAGTTTTGCCACAGCTGGAGTGCCAAGGTTCGCCACCACTGGTCTAGGGTGTAAAAGTAACTCACTTGATCCTCTGAGCCGGATAGCCTCTCACCTCCACTCCAGCCCCTTTGCATCCTCATGTCCAATAAACCGTATTGGACGTCATGACTCACTGGACCTTGGGCCACCGGAGTGGAGGATGAGAGAAGCTGCAGATATCGATCTAGCAGCCAGTTGGCTCCTAGGTTTGGGTGAGTTATTTTATTTTACACCCTAGACGAAAATGAGCACTTAACCCTTGCAGTGCGGGGGTAGCCCCACTACAAGGGTTACGTTTTATTCTGGCTAGAGTTCTTTAGGGTAGAGTCAAATTTTTCTTCCTTCCTGGAACGATTGTTTTTGCCACATTTTTCCTACATTAAAATGCCCAATCAGATTTCAGTTTGATGAATGACAATTGTTTTTACTTGTAAGAATATAATCATACGCAACTTTAACATAATCAACTCAATTCAAACAAAAGCTAGACCTTGTATGTAAGTACTTGAAAATCGTTCTATTTACAAAGTAAATACCACTGCAAAATAGGGAAATGTTCAGGGGAAAATAGTCTGTAGCAATGGGTCTTAACATTAATAGAGGATGGGTCGCTTTCATTCCGGGTAAAGTCTTAAGCCTGTAGAGCAGGTCAGCCATGGAGATGAACTGTGGCAGCTGTGCTCCCTGCCCGCAAAAAGCCAGATGGAGCTCAAAGGACAACTCACCAGCATTGTAGTCTATGTGCAGCTGATATTGCAGCTCCTTACTGACTTAACATGCCTTTGTTCTGCACTGTGTTTGTGTGGAGGTGGCCATCTTGGTAATGGCAGGCCTCGGGTTCCTCATGTTGGAGCCTCCTTGAAAGAAAATGGTGAGCAGCACTCTAGAGACATCACTAATTCTTATTCGAAATCAGCTAAAACAATAAGTCAGGGCTAGCAGTGCCTTAGATCTCACACTGCAGATATATGGCTGCGGGGCTGTAGGTGCCTAAACGCACTCCTAAACCTGGAAGTGCACTGCCAGTATTCAGGCGAAATCCAAGACAAAAGGTCAGAGTACTAATTGGGCACAATTTACACTTCTACATGTTCCCTATAACATAGAAAATCCTTAACGTTTTAATGTTAGTTCCACTTTAAACGCTTGTAATATTTATTGAGCACAATAGGCTTTTTACAAAAGCATCTGAAAGAAGAACTGTCTGTGTTTCTGGTGTTAAGTAATTGCTTGCTGTCACATTCAGGTTCACTTGTCTAGCTCTGTCTCAAGCTCTTTGCAGAACTGGATGGACTTTGTTAGTTTCACTATAATAGTCAGTCTAGTTTGTTAGTCAAAGGTCACTGATCCATTTTAGAAGTGCCATGTTTCTAGGGTTTGCTGAAATAAAAACTCTCTCATATGCCAATGCGAGGCCAACTATTTAATACAAAACCAATTCTACTGTAAATCACTTCAGTGGTATTGGAGAATTGTTTGACATGTTAATTCTTACCTTATACCATCATTCAATTAAAACTGAAGCCAAAACATTAGTTTTTTTAGTTTTAGATAGATTAAGGGACAGTTATAACCCATCAGCTTTTTTTTTTTTCCATCTGTATACCATTGGGGAGATTTCCGTTCACTTCCTGCCTGATGGCCACAACAGGAAGGGAGAGGAAATCCCTCCAAAGAGAGGGAGATCCCTGGTGTTCAGCAGGGTCACCAGAACTAGTGTCCCCATTGGAAGATTTCCCATAAATTCCTGTTCTGATGACAACCCAAAATGTGGGATTTTCTTTCCCTTTCAGTGATAAGTCACCAGGAGAAAGAGAGAGGGGGAGCTCCCTATTGGGAACACACAGCAATAAACACCTGACATTTTCTTTTATGACTTCTCCACACTATTCAAATCTTACACAAAAAAAAAATGGGTTTCAGTCGCAGTTTTCTATGGAAAAAATATCTGATACATTTCCCTTGGGCAGTATATACACTGAGTGACCAGATTATTATGACCACCTGATGTTTTGTATGCAAATTAGCTATAATTTCGTGCTGAAGTTGCCAGAGGGACAGACCATTATAAATAGGGAAGCAGGTTGTTTACCACGACAGTAGAAGTGATTTGTTTCTGAAGATATGGGTAAACAATGCGATTTAACAGCCTTTGAACGTGGGATGATTGTTGGCGCTCGGAGCCATGGAGCGAGTATCAGCAAAACAGCAGAATTTGTTAAATGTTCAAGGGCAGCTGTTGTTAAAGTGTTTTAAAGTCTGGACTGTCAGCCGAAAATCTGGATCTGAACGTGCGAATTGTGGCCATCAGCGACTAGTCAATGTTAGGGCAGAACGGTACAAGACAACAGAAGGGCAACAGTGCAGGGTCAGATTCCTCGCATCACCTTTTAACATCTCGTGGAGTCACGAGGCGGCCCAACGAAGTCATCTCGTGGCCCAACGAAGTACTGATGGGGTGGTCGTAATAATCTGGCCACTCAGGGTATACTATAGGAAAGTAGTCAAAAGCTGGCCATACAGTGTTGTTTTTCTTTTATTATTTTTCAACCACGGGGGCTGAACAATAAAAAAAATTGAACAGTTTTCTCCATCAACGCTTACGGTTCCTCAATCGGCTGAAATTCGCAGTGTATGACCATCTTTAACTGCCTCCGGGCCGGCCGTAGTAGTAAAACGGCGCGCGTTGAATACTGAAAAATGGCCTGGCCAGGAAGGGGGTCTAAACACCTGGTCTTGAAGTGGTTAAGCACGTAGTTGTCCAGACTGTGTAATGTTATTGTACTGTTTAGGAACTGTCTTTTTGAATCTACAACATAAAGCAAGAATAACATGTGATATCAAAGTTTTAGCAAATTTATAGAATGGTCTGTCGGGGAGAATTTTCTGGCTAGTGCACCAACATTGGTCCTTTTTAAATAAGACTGGCGGCATAGGTTTTCCACATTTTATCACATAACCACAAGGGAAATAATTAGCGCAGTCCTTTTTATTTTGTTCCTGACGAATATACTTGTGCCCCTAGAAGGAAGTCTGGAAGGTATGATGTGATTGTGATCCCCGTGGAGGAGTTAGGAAAATAGAATTGCCTAGTTTGGAAAAAAATGTGCAACTTTGTGGCCTTGTTGTGTGCTTAAAGCAAAACTCCAGGCAGATTTAAAAGACACAAATTTAATGCAGCTCTTTCATTCTTAATTAATTGAGTTTTTCTATTGCAAGCTGTACAAGTACTTGAATTTGGCCTGAAATCTGCAGAGCTCAGAAAGAAGTGCAAGGAGCCAGTCAGGTGTATTGCTGTGCAAGAAGCATGCTATTAGGAGTGAGTAAAGCGCCAGAAAGATGATTATTTATTCAGTCCCTGCCCTCATGGAGGTTACAATCTAAGGTCTATCTCGCATACATACAGGGCTGATTTAGACAAGAGTTAATAAACTTACCAGCATGTCTTTGGAGTGTGGGAGGAAACCCACACAAGCACAAAAACATGCAAACTCCCTAGTGCTGCAAGGCAGAAGCGCTTACCACAAGCTCTTTGTGTTGCCCTTAAGCTCATCGGTGTGCATTTATAGTTTGGGGGTGAGGATGAGATCTGTAAGTGAAAGTGTATCTGCAGCAGAGAAAGATCAGGTCCCCTTCCAGACAGGGTTGTGCTGTGCGGCAGTAGTAAATATGAGGAATGGATGGATAGAAATACAAATCCTTTTAGCTGCTAAAACAGCTCTCGTAAATGTCTCATCGGTATGATTAGCTGTTTGCCTGGAGTTCAGCTTTACATTGATGGTAAACCTAAAGATTTTTATGTAATATCACATCTTTATTGCATATGTTTTTATGAGGTTTTTTTGTTTGCTTTGTATTTTTAGCAAGCCTTGGCTCTCATTCCTTTCGGGTGCTTGCTAGTGATAACAAATGTTTTTGAAAAGTATAGTTCCACTTTTGCAGTCAAATTTGAGAAAACCGCTCTATATGTTGTGTGTTCCCACTCTCACAGCATACGGAAGAATTAATTAAAAAAAAAAATGTCTTACCTTTTAGCCCTCATTCACACAAATAACGGCCGTATCGGGCCGCTCCAGTGAAGGGCAGGTGCTGCGTGTGATTACATGCAGCAGCCTGTTCTTCTCTATAGGAGTACGCAGCCATACGCTCACCCGAACTGCATGTCCGTGCGGGTGTCTCTGTTTGGACGCAGATAGGATCCATCCTGTCACCGTAGGAGTATGGACACCCGCACGGACGTGCAGTTTGGGCGAGCGCATGGCTGCGTACTGCCATAGAGAAGAACAGGCTGCTGCATGTAATCACACGCAGCACCTGTCCTTCCCGGGAGCGGCCCGATACGTCCGTGCACGCAGCACGAGTCTGTATGGGCCGGCCGTTACTCGTGTGAATGAGGGCTTAGATGTTTTGTTGCGGCAGGCAACATTACTAATTCTGAGTTTTTTTTTCCTCAGTGATCGGTCCTTATAGAAAGACTGAACTGAAATCTCAGAATTGGGTTTCTCTCATTAACATACAACGGAGAAGCCGGGGCAGTAATCCTTTAGCCCCATCTAACATTACAAAGAAGAAGAAGCAAGTAGAAATTGTAACCCGTAGACCCCATTCACACTGAGCTACATGATTTGAGCTGATTGACATTGAGCTACAGTGCACGTTTTGTCACACTACTTAGCACTTCTTTTGACAGTCTATCAAAGCAATTGGGGCCAAATCGCATAAAATCCGCTGGAAAAATAGGTCATGTTTGAGCGACAAGCTTGAGCCACCGCCTACAGGCGACATTGAGATGTGAACGGCTCCACTGAAATGCATTGGACGAGCTACAGTGAGCGATTTTTCAGTGGAAATCGCGCTACAAAGCGATCAGTGTGAATAGGGTCTGAATAAGCCAAGTAGGAGCTCTAACCCAAGTCAAAGCAATTTACTCTGCAAGAAGCATTTTTTAAAATATTTTTTCGCTTCTGCTATGTGAATGCAAACATGTAACAATTCTAAAATAGGCAACCTGATTAACTCAATAGTACTACTCCTTTACAGCAGCACTAGAGAGAATGACGTGTGCACACCGACAGAACCTGCCTTGCTTCAACATCTATATATGCTCACAGAAAAAAGTCCAGCCACATACCGCATACTGAAGAATTTTTTGTAGCACGCAGGTACACATCGTCCCGCCATGGATACTCTTCACTCTCAATATAAAATGGGTGTTATCCCAATTTGGCTGCAAAAGTTTCTATATAATTTAAAACTGACCTTCAGACTTCTATCGAAGACGCACATTGAAGCAGCTAGGTATTAATAAATCATGAAATGTAACATTATAAATGTACTATTGTAAGTAGCTGAATTTGATTTGGGATTAGTGTCATACATTCTCCTATGCAGCAATCATCAAACTGAGAGGAGAGGAGGGCCAGAACTGGCAACCAAATAGCTGTGTTGCATGCAAATGGGTTTTGACGAGGAACATTCTGATAGGAGTAGGGTGCAGAGGGTTAATCTCATCCTCTGCCGATTCTCTTTTTCTGTGCAGTCATCAGGCTGGGGGTAAAGAGGACACGCCTGTATTCCTTCTACAGTCTATATCTGTAATACAGAAAGTGGTGGTATTTGCCTGCTTGTAGTGTGTGTGTTATATATATGCTATTACTGGATATATAATTATATATAATTACTGGATTGACATAAATACAGATGACAATTTCACAGGTAAAGCTGCGCCTTTTATGCATGTAATTTATTGAATTTAGCGGTTTGCCTGAACTTGAGCTTTAAGGTAGACAATAAACATGCATCTATGTACCATATAAATGATCAAAGTGTGACTGGTTAATGTTGAAGGATCGGTCCAAAGCTCCTCTCGCTACCCCCTTCCGTACTGGGTTATAGAAGTGTAAAGCTCAAATTGTGCTAGTTTCCTTTTTGTTTTTTTACAGTATTGGTACAGTTTTTACTCCCTCATTGCTTAATGCCTTATATAACTATGGAGAATAACAGGGCCTATTGTCCTCTTGGAGCATACATTAGTCTTTCTTTCTTGCTGTCTCTTGTTCTGACCCAATCACACACCCATGTTTTGCCTGGGAAAATTCAGCATTTAGCTTAAGCTGGTCATACATTGGTAGCATCTTGTTCCCAAGAATTTGTTTTTAAGCACATTCATTATATTTTCTAATAGTTAATAGGGTCAAATCCATGATTGACTTTGACTGGAGTGATGAAAAAATGGAAGGAACAGGGTGGATAATGGTTCTCAAACTCAATTCATTCCAAAACCGACTGGCGAAATCATACAGAATTTCTAATTACATTCATCAAGTCATGAGGGCATTATTAAATGTTCTGACAAGATTTTTCTGAAAGTTTTTCTTCATATAAACGATCAATCTGTGGCCAACTTTTTTTTTTTTTCTCTCAGGTTTACCTATCCTTTAAACAGGATGAGTGACCTGGCACTCACGCAGCTAGGTGGATCTCGACAGTAATGTCCAGATCTGTCCCGGCTGCGGCGGTCTCCGTATACCGCGAGCTGTAGCTAACGATATACTGAGCTTTGGGTCATGGGAGGACGCCAGTATATGTCCTCCCGTGACCCTTAAGAGAACTTTGGGGGAAACACTTACCCCATAGTTCTCTTTTAAATCTGCAGGCTTGGTTTCCTGCTTTGCAGTACTGCACAATATTTGTGCATTACTGCTCCTTTTACTGCAAGTCAGCCAACTCTTGACAGTCAATGAAGACCTTGTGTAGGTCATATCTTACCTTAAGACTTGTTGAGAGTAATTGCGCTAAGCTTTTGAGAGCTCTTTCTAGTCGCTAGTCTATAAAACTCTATATTTAATACAATAACAAAAACACGGATCAACAAGCATGAACAAATGTGAAGGTCCTATCAAAAATTTCTTGAAGGTAAGCACTGCAAAAAACCTGAAAATATGAGCTCATGGCTAACCCATCGCCTTTCAGAGGACTTCAGCTCAGCACGGTTGTTTGGCAGTAGAGCTCTAAACACTGGAGAACAGTCTTGTGCATCAAAGCTGGTTTTTCTTTATTTTCTGTTATGTGTGGACAATTAGAAACCATTGTATATTTTGTGTTTTAGAAAGGCTTTCAATAAATTCGTTTTAGACCCACCTGACTCCAAAGGTTAGAGCCTCATTTTAGACTTATCTGGGCAGATCTAGTATCTAAAGAAAGGTTCCTGACAGCATGCCAGCTGAATGCCATTTATGTCCCGCTTTCCATCAGCATTAACTTCATTTTCATTTTCTATATCTGACTTAAACTTCTTGTTTTTTTTATTTCTTCTCTTCACCTTTTAAGCACACACATAAACCATCCTTGCTACAGCCCAGAACAGTTAAGTAAACTCTTCTCACTGCCCCTTAACCTGTCTGTCCCATGGTTAGTGCTAGTGTCGTAGTGACCTGTCTGCAGTGATGTTGTCCATCCTGAGTCCAGATGTGCCCATGCCTCACCATGAAATGCCCATCTTCATTGTAGTCCTATTTGCTTTCCTGGATTATCTACATGTTGCATTCCTTTTTATCTCCCTTGTGCGTGGTTTTTTTTGTTTTTTTTTTACATTTTAATAATGGTTTTGATGCAATTGTAAAATGAGGGCATCTTGTGTGGTTGCTTTAACCATTAGGCTTTGTAGATTAGAATACTAGATGCTTCAGAATATCCCAAAACCTGAATGATTAGACTTGCAACAATACTATGTTAGCATGTTAAAGTAGTTGGCTGCAACCAAACGTAGGTTATCTTCTACAAGTCCTGCTTGCCTATTGTACATGTCTACGCATCTTTGTGAAAAGGGCTCCTATAATGCACTTTATTTTTGGCTGTGGAAGCAGAGGAAAGGAAAATTGAAGGTGTTGGTCATAACAGCCAATCGGATTATAGCTTTCATACTAGTGCAGGTTTGAAAATGCAAGATCAGTCTCATTGGCTGTGCATCTCCTATACCTTTTTTTATTCTTCTCCTTTTATTGAAGTGTGATATAGATGCTTTGTGTGTTCTAAAAATAGCTTTATTTTAGCTTCAGCTGCTCTCTTCTGATTTCAGTGTTTGTTTCCTGAAATGTGTTTCAAAAGAGAAAAATCTGCAGTTAGTGTTATATAAGCACCATTGTTCTGCTGGGATTTACAAAGCACATTGATTTTGTTCAATCAGAATTATTTTATGAGGCACATGGCAGGCATCTGCCTGTTGAAGTTCCTCCCCATAGCGTTCAGTAATTCTTACTTAATGTTTTTTTTTTTTACCTCGCACCGTTATGATTAAATAGAACAGAGTTGTTAACAATTCTATAGTGTTTTAAAGTGTATTTAAATCCAAGAATGGAAATATATTGCAGCTTACCGAGCCTTAGATTTGGTGGCTGCATGCATTTTAGTTTTTTTAGGCTAAGTACATTTTCTGCAAGTACAGAAAAATACCTGCAAAAAATTACAACAATGTTGTAACTTCCTGTGCACTGAACTGCAATGTCCAATGTTATCAGCCTTGCCAGTTCTTTAATGTGGATTACAGAGCACCTCCCCCCAGTCAATGATGCTTCTCTATTGATACAGTACAGTGAGCGAGCGTTTGTCACCCTGGGGCAGGAAGTGTAGCGGGCGGAATCACCAGATAGAAAGAGCGCAAAAATACTGAAAAAACGAATGCAGTCACCACATCTAGGGAGTGGCAAGCAAAGGTTTTTGTACCAGCCGTAAAATCAATTCCTTTTGAGTCCTTTTGAGGGACCTAGGAATTAAGAAAGTCAGGTTATACTGCCGCCTAGAAGAGGTTTGGACACTGGCAAACAGAAAAATTCTAAGCCAGCCCCGTATAACTCCTTCTCTACATAGCGCACTTTAGTTTTGTGGTAACGAAGAACCAAAAACAAGACCAAAAAACATAGACGGTCGGACCTGTGTCCCGCAATGGACTCCAAGAAATAAGATTCTACGTACGTACAAAATTCATATATTTTATTTCAAGTCCATTGAGGGACACAGGAATTCAGATACAGTCAGGATGTCCAGAAGCAGTCGACCTGAGGGGTGGAAAACAGCCTCTAACAGGTCAACAAGAAGGGACTGGGAACTGTCTGCAGCTTAGGACCATGTGAAGAACCAATGCCCGAAAGTGAAAAGATGAGGTGAAGCTGCCAATGGCCAAGGAAAAGCCAGACAATTAACCTGATGCATAGGAAGGGAAAAGAGAAGGTCTCCTCCTGAGGGAAATGAATCTACCCGAAGTAACATTTACCCTAAAGTCACAAGAGGCTTTAAAACAAAAACCCATCAAAATCAGGGGGGAAAAACAAAAATACCTGATAATGGAAAAACACGTGATGTGGTCATAGAAGAAAAAAAAAACACAGAGGCACGCACCCAGAAGAACAGGGTTCCCAAGAGGAAACCTTGGACAAAAGCAGGTCCACAAGAAAAGACCAGTCGGTCTACACATGAAGGGCCATGCTTTGTATTCCCAACCCTTAGGCTTCAGAGAAGGAAAATGCCATGATAAGGAGGGTGTCTGGCCAGACAACCAATCTTATTAATGAGATATCCAAATGATGTTAGAATCATCACAGTGCACTAGTCCATAAGGTTAGAAGAATGACCTGACACTGGTAAGCAACTCAAGGGTACAATCCCATAAAGGCAGCTTGACTGAAAGGGGATAAGGTGCATGAGAGGTACCCCTACAAGGGCGGGCAGGGATGAAGGTATACTGCAGCACCAGAAGAAAAAAGGATGACCAGAAACCATCCACTTTAAGACTTGGAAGTGTACCATGGGGCATGACCGGAACTCTCCAGGACCTACCTAACCTTAAGGACAGAATATGGTTCCAGAAATTTACAGACTGAATCTGGCCCAATCAGCTTCTCTCCGGCATTTTCAAAGCTTAACTGAACAAACTGAAAAGCGGTGTGTGTAGCGGAAAGGTATTTGCAGCTGTTGTAGGAGTTCTAAAAGACCTAAGATCTGGAACAACACACTGATTCTCTAGATGCTGTATTATAATGTGCAGCATCCTTAAGGTTTGAAAGGACCCCCTGCAAATCTGAGGTCACAGAGGGAGACTGATGCCTCCAGAGGCAGGTGGGACTCTTAAATGGAGTCTGACATGGTGACAAGGACCACAGGCCGGGTTTGATTTAAGGGCTCAGGAGAGACAGATTGTGCAGGGGATGGCACAGGGGCACACTAAGAGCCCCTGTGGGAAGGATGCCCCAGTAACTGAGCACAAATGGCCAAAAGATCCTGAATGGACATGGAGATTCGTAAGGACTTGGCTAATGGAGCTGATGAAGACTTTGATAATGCTGACCCGGTAACAGCAGGGGTTCCAGATTGCAGGTGCCTGTTCATTCTGGGGAACGTCCCCAGAACTACTAGGGAAAGTATGGGCTGGAGTCAGCCGTGGCAGTGGGATTGTTTCCAGTGGTGGAAATTTGAAAGGTGCACATCAGTGCAAGCAGTGAGGTAGCTCCCGGTGCTTTAGCCTTAATGGCTTTATTCACAAAGAGACAGGGTCATCCGTGGGGCAGTGTCACGTTTCTGAATTTGGGAATCTTAATTGAAGTTATTGAGGAAACAATCACCTGGGAGGGGGCTAGCAAAAAATAGTTCAACTTTTTAAATTTATTTTTTACCATGGTGCATTGTAGCTATAGGAGGGGTTATACATGGGGCTGGCTTACAAATGTGCTGTTTACCAGTGTCCATAAAATAAACATAAAGATGGGTTAACTATGGTAAAACTCTGTGTAAAAGGAACTGGGACACTTTGGAGTCTAGAACATTGCATTAGTACTTTGCTGTTTACCCTTTTTTTAATTTTATCCCAATTTCTTGTTTTTTATAGATCGCATTTTCATAGTAAATACAGCCCCCAATGTGATAGCATATTGGGTGTTGACAGGTCCTCTTTAAGGTGACATTAGGGGGTCACCGTGTTGGTGGGTTATTATGGATCTACATTGGTGGACGACATGATTTTCATGGGGGGGTTGGGGGGGGCATTGGATTGCAACCATACCAGGCCACATGCCTTCTACACTGAGAGAGCACATTGGAAGGGGCAGCAAATGCCCCCTTTTTGTTCCTCAGATTGGTGAATTAGTATAAGGTTTTTACTCATTCACCATAAAAAAAGTAAGTACCCCACACCATGAAAAAAGCCCTTTATTAGGGAAAATAATGTCCCCAGATAGAAATCCAGCGTCCATCAATGTAGATCCACATCAGTCACGATCACATGACAACCTGTGGCTACACCCAAATGGCATATCCCTGGCTACCTGCTGTATGTTCACAATTTGGCCAGGGAGAGTCATGACCATATTTTATCAGTAACGTCACTCAATCCCCTTATCCCCTTGCTGGTCTGTTTAAAAGTACCAGCTGGCCAGGGTACTGCTAATGATCCAAAATGACAGGCCTCTGGCTGATCTTTGTTTCCAAACATGAGTTGGTGGTTCGGCCAGGAGAACTGGCCATATATCGCCAGTTTGTCCGCTCATTTGGCTGGGTTCGGATCGAACTCCTAATGAGAACAAACATTATTTTATGTCCGAGCAACCATTACTGGTTTTACAAGTTAGATATTGCATATGGAACATGTTTTGGCATTGGCATGAACCAGAGAATAACAAAACCTAAAATCTTTTGATTTACATTTGTTTCTAATAAAACCCTTTCTGTTTTCAGGGCCGCTGAGGAGGCGTTTGTGAGTGACGTTGAAGAATCGACCCCAGGAACCGAATGGGAACGAGTTGCTCGTCTTTGTGACTTTAACCCCAAGTCTAGCAAGCAGACAAAAGATGTCTCCCGTATGCGCTCAGTCCTGATATCTCTCAAGCAGTCTCCACTGGTTCACTGAAAGGAAAGAACAGAAAAAAAACATGACACTTCCAATATTTTAATCTCAGAGAAGCTATGTTTGCAGAATTTGGTTATATTTTACTTTTTTCTCCTCCTTTGGGACCAAACTACACATGTATTTGATATTGATCATTGTATGTAATTGCCAGTCTACTCCCTGCTCCATTTTCCCTTTACTTAGAAATAAGATATTGGAGGGAGCCCAGTATGGTCATAGTCTCACTTTGTGCTTCTGTGTCATTGCAATGTGATTTGTGAAGGATTGTAATAGTGATATTAAAGGTCTGTATATGATATATTACGGTGTCACTTTTTCTTTTTTGTAGTTTTAAACCGCTACTCCAGAATTAACCACTATCTGATACCACAGTTAACATCAATTTCTTTAGAGACCTAATCTTCAGGTGCTTATGCCTATACCAACTCATCTGTCCAGGCCATTTTAGAATATCATTTATCTCTTTTCACACTTTCTTTGCTTTAATCTATGGCACACCAAAGGCATGCAGGTATAGATGAGACGAGTGCTTTTTATTTCATAACTTTTCAGGAGGAATGAAACATGCAATGCTTTGAAACAATGCTGTAAGAGTACCAACAAATTTGTCCATGTATGCATGCCCTCATGTTTTGCATGATACTTTAAAGTCCATTTTCATCTTTGTAAGTGATTAGCTTTTATTATGGTAATGTAGAGGCACAGTGATGATGTATATATGTGCACATTTTCACGACTTATTGCAAATTTCCTCATTTTTTTTTATTAGACCTGAATCCTGGAAATTCAAAATGTTCTCCACAGGAAATTCAGACAAGACACCGGGTTCAGATTTAAAAGCAGGCTGTAAACAGCTGCCCCCTCCCTGTTATTCTCTGTAAGACGATTACTAAATATCAGCTCTGCCTTTGCACACAATACACTGTCAAGGGGAGGGGGGGGGTTGCCACTATGAATACTAATGAATGGGGGGGGTGGGGGGGGGTAGGGAGCTCAGTTGTAATATACACGCATTGCTTGCAGAGCACAGAGGTGGCTATTTCCATGAAGTGGAAAGCTATCAAAAAATGTAAGTTTGTGTGTTTATGTACAGCAACTGCATATGTCTGCTTCATGTTTCACTCGATCTACATTGCTGGAATATATATTTTTTTAAATACCTCTGCAAATGTGGAAATGGGTTTAAGGCCAAACTTGTTTGTGTTTTTTTTAATTTTAAATAGTCCCTCAACAGTAGTGCTAATTACAAAGCATCTCTATCTGCAATACTCTCCACCTCTCTGGCATAGTGGCCAAAAGTAATAACTATGGGGGACAAAGGCTGCATTCACACATGAGCATATTGTAGCTCAAAGCTACAAAATGCTCAACAATAGAAATCTCATTGAGCTCTCGGGTGTTATCAGGCACCATAGAAGACATGTCCCTTTAGCAAAACGCTTGTCGCTCCAAAAAGTACAGGAGCTTCTTTTCAGGCACAATAGAGCATTTTGGTCCCATAGACTTTAATAGGAACACCTGAAAAACGGGTCTTTTTACACGCTCACAATTAAAAATTAATGGGGCCAAAAACTCAATTCTGCTTCTCTGATAAAGTAATGCATAAAACCGCTGGAAACATGCCTGTCCATTGTTTGGCTACACTCCTGCTCAGGTGTGAATGCAGGCTTAATAATCAGCTTATATTTTGTCAAAAAAACTGTGAGTTATTTTGTTTGCAATGTTAAAATGCATTCAAATTAATTTTAGTGCACACGAAGTTTAGGATTGATAGCCTGTTGTGCTAATATGTGACATAACACATTGGAACTGCCACCATTGTATTCTCCAGCTTCTCTGCTTTTAGAAAATATATAATTTGGGGGGCTTTAACCAATTTCAGGCCTAAAATTTCAATTTTAAGTGTGAAAAAAATGCACATAAGGCTCTGACAGTGAAAGGGTTAAATAAACAGGGTGGAATTCTGGTCTTGGGATAGGAGATCTGGACGGCAAGGAAATGCCCAGGGAAAGTCTGCCAGGAATTTGACTACATCCACGCACCACAATATTCTGGGTCAGTTGGGATCAATAAAGATCTCCAAAATGCTCTCCTTGTCGATCCTGTGAAGTAGGCATGGCAAGTTACAGAGGAGGGTAAGGTGTAGAACAGGCTGAATTGATTCCAAGAAGTCACCAAGGTATCCGCTGCAAAGGCCCAGTGATCCCTGGTCCTGGTGACAAGCTTATCCATTTTGTTGTTGAACCTGGATGCCAGGTGCTGCATGTCGGGCACCCCCTACCTGGGAGAAAGGTCCCGAAACACTCCGGGTGAAGGGACCATTCTCCAGGGTCTAGATGTTGACAACTGAGGAAGTCTGAAAGTGTTGGAGCTGATAAAATTAATATCTATGTAAAAGCTTTGATATAAAGGTGTTCCTTAATTTCCTGGGCAATCAGCATGTGGCTGTGTGATACACAAATGAGGATAATCAAAGGGTTCTTGGGGGCAGGGACACTAACAGATGAAGATATGCTGGAGGTCGTTATCTCCTGGCACAAGCCAAACCCTTTGCTGGTATTTACTGCCCACACCTGTGTCAGCGATGGGGGCAGGGACACATGATGGAACCTTCTTCCTGTGTGATCATCTGCATAAACCTATCTCACAAGCAGGAACAATGGTAACCTTTGTGACCTCTGGGACACGGGAAAAGGCCATGGCATGTGTGAATGAGAGAGAGTGATGATGCTAGCTGAAGGATACTAACCTCAATTCCTATCCCTACTAATCCCCTCTCCATTTCCCTTAATTGTAATTAGAATGTATGTATATCCCCATTTGTAATTAAACTCAACACTTATTTAGATTCAGTTGTCCATCAGTCATTTAAGGCACCCCCAAAGCAGAGCACATTCTACAGAAAGTCCCAATTTTCCATTTCCGAGGTGAGTATGGCAGATGAGGCTGGGATGTGAAGTTCCACCCAAGCCAGATTCAGTTCTGCTTCTCTTTGAGCTTTGTGAGGTCTGGTGCCTCCCTGATGATTGATGTAAGCTGTTGCTTTGTCCTACTGAATCATAGTTGAGTGGTCCTATAACTGAGGAGTCCAGCATTGAAGAGACAACCAAACCGCTCTAGGATTTTAATTAGTAGATTCCTCCGCTGACCCTTGAACCAAGAGGTTTCCTAGCCTGACAGACTGGCATCTGTTGTACCTTCCAGACCATTGTGAGGAAGGCTTTCCCCAATTCCAGCTCTTGGTGTGAAATCCACCTTGGAGTAACATAGTCATTAAAAAGGGACATGCCTCATCCACTCTTTGCCCTCCTAGTGGGCTTACTCCTCAGTTCACGCACTGCACCAAGTAAGTGTCCATGCAGGATCGTTTCCCTTAGCACATTATAGGCCCATTCTAGGTGCAAGCTGCCGTGAACAAAACTAATTAAGTCTCAAATTTTCCTAAGCTGCTGTTAGGTGCTGTAGTGGGTGTGAGTAGCAAAGTCCTTTACTACAATAAATGCTACTGCTGATGTATGTGTGCACATTTTCATGACTTACATTGCAGGCTTTCTTCATTTAAAAAAAACAATTAAAGTTTTATTAGGCCTGAAGCCTAAAAAAATAAAACAGCAACAGCTGTTGCACAGCACAGAAACAGATTTTTTTCATGACGGGTAGAAAGAGGAAAGCAAAACTTTGCGCTTACAAAAACTTCCTGGTATCAGGAAGTTTGTTTTCATATACATCAACTGCATATGCATGCTTCATGTGCACGGTGTACATTGCTGGCAAATGTTGAAAAATCTCTCTGCAGAGGTGGAAATGGGCTTTAAGCAGAAAGAGGATGGATGTCTGTAAGAGCAAACAAGACACCCCTACGTAACCCCTCCCACTACCAGCCTGCCTGGGGTTTTTGCAAATTTTCTTAGGTAACAGTGCAGTGTACAAATACCTGAAGGTATCTGCATAACCCTATTGCAGAATTAACTCCCTGGCAGGTGCCTGCGAGTACTATGGATATGAGGTGGGAATCTAATCCAACTGAAAACATCTACATCAGGCAACCCTTGTGCCAGTGTCATGGGAGTCTATTGGGATTGTCAACAGTAAAGATTCAGCTTTTCTTTCATTTTCAAAGCATAACTGAACAAACTGCTCCAATCAGCTTCTCTCTTCAGACAGAATCTGGAGCAGTTGCTCATAGTAACCAGTTATGATATATCTCCCCGTTGAATGTGCAAGATAGACAGGGAATTTGTATTTTCAGATGAGAGCTTAGCAGTGGCAGCCTCCAATACTTCTTCAGTAGTGGTTCAGGTTTCTTATAATTGCTATATGGTTGGCTGCTTCCCCCCCTCCCCAAATTCTGGGCTCTGTTCACACCAGCAGTCTGTTCCGGTCCAGAATGCACTGGAACGCATAAAAATGCATGCAAATGCACTGGAACACACCTGTAAGTCCATTTTAAGCTATAAAAATTTTTAAACAAGCGTCAAAAATCGCAGTTAAACCCAATTAACCGCGTTCCAGATCTGGTCCGGAAAATGGTGTGAACCTGACCTTAAGCCTCATTCACACGAGAATCGTGCTGCGTGCACAGCCGTATCGGGCAGCGGCTGCATGTGATTAGCCCGTCCTTCTCTTTGAGACTACGGCCCTACACGTCCGTGCAGATGTCCGTACTCGTGCGCTGACGGGATGGATCCTGTCTGCGTCTGAGCCGGGACACCGGCACTTGAGGTGAGCGTAGTGCGGTTCTGCAAGCACTATAAGAAGTGTTACCCTCTGAATATATCAAATTAAAATGAATGTGCTGCACTTCATATAGAATCTTGTTTATGTATTGTTCTAGATGAAGCGCAGCACATTCATTCTAATTTTGTACAAAAAAAGGTGCAAGGACCTACAAAGGTGAACGTGTATGGAAAGAAAATGTAGAAAATTATAATAACTGTATGAATGAGTACATGGGGCTAAGCAGGTACATGTAATATGCTTCATCTGAAAAGCGTATTGCTGTGTAAAGGTTGATGGACACCAAT